TCAGAGGAAGCCACGAAGGCTCAGCTTGGATCCAGAGAAGGAAACTCTGTCCAGTGAAAAGCTGGAAGGCATGCGGGTACAGATGAACAGTCACATTTCAAATGTTTACTTTTTTCTTATGAATATATACCCTGAATACTAGACAAAGGCACAATTTTCGAGCTTGTACTCTCACCACCACGGACTGAAGAGCACCTATTCAGGGCTCCTGGTGGAGCAGTGAGTGGAGGCGGGTGGGGGGACAGGAGTCAGGGGAAGGGGCCGGATCCAGGGGCCCCTGTGCACACACATCACTACATCTACACTGGTCAAGGCTCCAACTTCTGGGAGTAAAGTCCTTATGCAGGGGTCAGCCCCGCGGCGAAGCAGTTAAGTGCATGCACTCTGCTGCTGGCGGCCTGGGTTCGGATCCTGGGTGCGCACTGCTTGTCAGGCCCTGCTGTGGTGGCGTCCCACATAAAGTGGAGGAAGATCGTCACGGATGTTAGCTCAGGGCAAGTCTTCCTCAGCAAAAAGAGGAGGATTGGCATGGATGTTAGCTCAGGGCTGATCTTCCTCACATACACACAAAAAAAAGTTCTTATGCAAACCTTCAAACAAAGCCATTGAAAATGAAAACATGCCAGATAAAAACCTGGGCGATTTAATATAGCAAAGGAAACCTTTTAAAGTGAGTTTTAACTTGTCGCAGCCAATCAACAGTCTAAACTCCTGGCTATGGGAAATTCATATTCATATTTAACAAGTTTACTTTGTGAAAATATTCCTCTGAAAAATGAGTAACATGTTAATTTTGCTGTAACGATGGAGAAAGAATATAAGTAGCACTTTAAAAAGTTAAAACCGGGGTTCACCGGTTCGGATCCTGGGCGCACACTTACTCACCGCTCATCAAACCATGCTGAGGTGGCATCCCACATAGAAGAACCAGAAAGACCTACAACCAGGATATACAACTATGTACTGGGGCTTTGGAGAGAAAAAAGAAAAAGAGGAAGATTGCCAACAGATGTTAGCTCAGGCCCAATCTTCCTCAAAAAAAAAAAAAAAGAAAGAAAAAGTTAAACTTGATCTCTTCTATTTTTTTTTCAGACATCACTTTCTAATAAGAATGTATACTAAGAGATTTCTTTTTTGTGTGTGTGTGAGGAAGATTAGCCCTGAGCTAACATCTGTTGTCAATCCTCCTCTTGCTGAGGAAGCTTGGCCCTGGGCTAACATCCGTGCCCACCTTCCTCTACTTTACATGTGTCACCGCCACAGCATGGCTTGATAGGCGGTGCGTAGGTCCGCGCTGGGGATCCGAACCTGCAAACCCTGGACTGCCAAAGCTGAACGGGTGAACTTAACTGCTATGCCACTGGGCCAGCCCCACTAATAGATCTTTAAATTACTTTTTTCCTGCCTGGGGCTTTCCCAGAGGCCCTCCCTCACACCCCTCCTTTGGACACAGGAATCCAGCCTCCTTTCCTCCAGGGAGCTCTCGGACAACTTTTAGGTTGTTCTGTGCTTCTGCCCAGTGTATCCATAGAACCCTGTTCTTCTCCATATGGCTGCATTTAGACATTACTGTAAATGCGTGTTTGACTGACTATCCTCCACCACCTACCAGATTATCTGCCCCATAGGGTGGGAGACCCCCAGAGCATCCCCAGCCCCTAGAACAGTGCCTTGCACAGAACAGGCCCCCAATATGTGAATCCCTGTTGAAAACATTTATTAGCCAGGAAAGATGGTCTTGATGCTTTGTTGTAAAAAGTGGGTTACTGGCCAGGGTGAATGAGTCCATTTTTATACAATGTATGATTGTGCATCATTCCTTTCACCTGCATTTTAACATTTTTCTACAATGAATAAGTATTATCTGCATAATTATAAAAGAAAAGTTACCAAAATAAACACAAAGAGGAGAGACGACTAACAATAAATCGTTACCTAATGACATCTGTTAATAGCATCAGTTCAGAAACAAGTTCACTTCCTTCCCTTAAAACAAACTCAGGGTCTCTTAGAACATAAAAAGATTTGGCAAAGGTATAAACTTTGGAGAAAACAAAAAAAAAAATTCCATTTATTCTAACCGATTGGCTTTTCTCACCTCTAGGCGTCCAATGTCCTTATGGCCTCCATTAAACCAACTTTTGGGAAAGAATCTGTTAGGTTCACTCAACTAAGGAGTTCTTGGTATTAAAGCTAATTTGGTTGCACCACTGCTTGGAGATGCTGTATGAGGAAACCGGAGGACTTTGGGGCAATAGGGGCTGAGCAAGGGCGTGGGGGGCAGGCACTAGTGGCCACCCTGCAAAGCCTCTCTCTCTAGGCCACGGGCCCCGGGCCTCGGGCAGTGCAGGGTCATAGCTGAGTCTCATGGACACGAAGGACAGGCATTCGCTGGTCTGGGACGGTGCGGTTCCCTGGGGCCGCAGGACCGACAGTGCAGGACGGTGGCTTTCTCACTCTCTCCCTACCCCCAGCATCACCAGGAGCTCTGCCCGCGCGGCCCACCCACCACCCGGTCCGCGCCCCCCGAACTCTCACGGCCACGCGGTCCTCAATCGGATCTGGACTGCGCCTGAGGTGGACGTCGGCTCGCGCTGACCGCTCGACGCCGCGCCCAGCACCCCCAGCCTTCACCTGACCTGAGAGGAGCCGCGGGCGCTTGGCCCATGACAGATTTCCGGACGAAAATAACCTGGGAGGGCGCGGGACAGGGTCTGGCCCGCCGCATCGTCTCCCTCCTCCGGGCCCTAGGCCCCCGCGCCCCCGAGGCTCCCCACCCCTCGGCCCCCCCGAGCCCCGCCCCGGCCCCGCCTCGTCGACGTCCCCCTCCCCGGCTCCCAGCCCCCCAACTCGCCCTCCCTTCCCACTCTCCCCGCCACCCCCGGTTCCCCGCGCTCCCCCCCACACCCGGTTCCCCGCGCTCCCACAACCCTGGCGGCCCTCACCCCGGGACCGCACTCACCAGGGTCTGGCCGCCCGGCGGCCGCGCGTTGCCGGGACAACGGCTGCGAGCGGAACGCGGAAACAGCCGAAGGTGAGCGACGCGGCCGCCGAGGCCGCCCGAATCGCCCCGAGAGGCCGGAAACAGTCGAAGACGATCGGGAATCTTCGTGCGGCGCCGACTACAGGATGATCCCCGTGGGTCCCCGCAGGCGGCCAGCTCGGTGGACCCGCGGGGCAATTTCTCCCCATCGCAGCCGAAGTCTAGCATCAACAACGCTAGCTCGGAAGGGGGCCAGAGAGGCCAGGGAAGAGAGGGGAAGCTGGTGAAATTCTTCTAGGTGTGATGGAGATGCAAAGCCTGTTGGGACCCGCTCCTGTAGTTACATCTTTCCAAGCACGTAGGTCAATCAGGAGGTGGAGGAGGCAGCAGAGAGTAGGGGGGAGAAACGAAACGCCATCTTCTTGAAGATTCCCTCCTCTCTGGTTAATCTTATTGCTAGATCCTCCGGACCCCACCGTTTGCTAGGCTCCGCTCTGTCTGGTCTCAAGGAGGAGGATGTGTTTCAAGAGTATTTTTGAGAAAAGCCAATTGGTTCGACATAGTTCCTTGAAGTTATTAGGTAACTAACGACATGCGTTCAATGCTTTGGGGGCCATATGGACGCCTTCGGCGAGAAAATGGTAGCCAACGATACGGGCTAGAAGCCAGCCTGATTCGTGGCGGCAGCTGCATTCCCAAAGGCATTTTACAACGTGCGCCTGGCCTAACGTCAGCTGTGGTCAAACTAACTTTGAAAAACAAATCAACGTCATGTCATAAAAAAAATAGTTCATATTGCACACCCTCTACTGCACACACTAACTACAGGAGCGGGTCCCACAGGTCCACATTGTTAAACAAATGAAAAAGTAAGAGGAAAATGTAGATACTACTGGATCGGACGGGATTACATACGTACAAGGACGATTCTATTTTTAAAAACCCAATTTTCGTAAACAGAATTTTTTTATTGAATAAGTTGGACATGTAACATTGTTATACAGCGTTTTAATTTGATACGTTTATATACGTAATATGATTGCCGATATAGCCATATCATATTATATAATTACAGTACAAAATTATTGTCTATACTCATTATACTGTGCATTGGATCTCTTTTTTTTTTTAAAGATTTTATTTATTTAATTTTTTCCCCCCAAAGCCCCATTAGATAGTTGTATGTCATAGCTGCACATCCTTCTAGTTGCTGTATGTGGGACTCGGCCTCAGGATGGCCGGAGAAGTGGTGCCTCGATGCGCACCCGGGATCCGAACCCGGGCCACCAGCATTGCAGCACGCGCACTTAACCACCAAGCCACAGGGCCGGCCCTGTGCATTGGATCTCTATGGCTTATTTACTACTTACAAGTTTGTACCCTTAAACAGCATCAAACTCACCCCCGCCCGCCATATACACTAGAATTTTAAAAAACACTTTTATCGCCATAACAAAGAAAAATGAGCTAAGTGCCCAGCACCATCTGTTACGCTAAAGAACTTCAAAAGCACACAATCGATCCAATAAAGGCTGTGTTTATCCGCCTCAGTTGTACTTCACACTTCGTTAAAAACTCGGTTCCCGCCGACTCAAGACTCCGAGCTGAGGCGGCGTTTTCTTCTCACGCATCCGTCAACACGGCTCCGGCCAATCACAGCCCTGGCGCTGACTCTATTGGCTGTTAATCCACCAATCCAGAGAGACGCACCGGCCCGCACGGGCGCGAGCCCGGCGTCACAACATTACCCGCCTCGCAGGCCCGCCCCTCGTTCCCGCCCCGCGTCCGTGCGTGCATGTGAGCGCGCCCGCTGCTGGCCAATGGGAGCGCCCGTAGTGGGGTGCGCACGGTGGAAACCTCGGGCGTGCTCGTCCCCGCGCGCGTCGCCCCGCCCCGGCCCGCGTGCCCGCC